ACTCACACCAGGACGAGAAACCCCAAACGACTCAAATCACGAGGAGCGCTTTCTCTCCCTCCTCCTCCGCCTCGTCCTTCTCCCGCTCCCCCCACAAGGAGGATGTACAAGGAGGCGGGAGGAAGGAGGAACAGGGGAGATATGCGGGGCCAAGCGGACACACGCCTGAAAAACACGACTGTCGGCATGCTTCGCGAGAGTTGCTGCTGTGAGATGGGCTGGTGGGGATACGCGAAGCGTAAAGAATTCACTAATCGACGTGTCACTGTTGGGGGTTCTGTCCACCCCCGATCCTGGCCCCCTAGTGGCCAGGAAGAGGCCCAGGATAGAACAGTTAGAAATGAAAGGAGCGTGGCCCCAAAAAATCAAAGAATGTTTGAATTATTAGGAATGAGCAATGTCTATGTTTGCGCTTGGTCGACATCGGCGCCCCTTGGACTCGAGCAGGAGATCGATAGCAGACCTTTTTTGCCCCAGAATTGCGTTCCTTCGCCGATATCTGCAACAATGCGTACGTACGTAGAATGTTTCGCAGACCTGCGGGGATTACGCGCATGTTCTTCGCAGATTCGACGGGCCGATCACTCTGCGGGTCAACCAACCCTGCAGCCGATCTCCTACTCGACGGCCACGTGTGATGATCCACCCAGGAGCCATCCGCCATTGCGAACGGGACCTACAAGTTTGCGAGGGCCAGAAACGTTCAGGATTGGGGGCCCCTCTGCAGATGTGCTGGACACAACCGCCCACATGTTTAGGGATACCCCTAAAAACCCTGGACCTACGTCAGGCCACGAATTCATTGTTATCCGAGTTTGGAGTGGCATTCTGCTGAACGGCCCTGGACTGTGCGCCCCTTTTGCCTCCGCCGAGCCTTGGCGCACTTGAGCATGGTGCGGCCGGCGTAGTCCCGCCAGTCCTGCCAGCGCACGCCGGGCACCTCCTCCGGCAGCGCGTCCAGCAGCGCCCGGAGCGCAGGCTCGTCGTCCTTCTTGATGAGGACCTCGACAGGAGGGCGCCGAACTTTGCACGTGCACTGTGTCCTGGCACGGCTCCTCCTGGGCCCATGATCGGCGACTGGCCATCGCTCGGACGTCCATTCCCTGTGTTTTTTGTTCAGTTTCGTGCGTGGTTTTTTCGCTAAATGATCAAGGATGCTCCTCGATCGTCCTCGCCGAAGAGAAAATGCACACGTCCGAGCGATGCCACGGCGATTGACCCCTCCTGGCCTGGCCACGGGGAAGCGCCGCGACACCGATCCCGGGCCCTGGCTCGGCCCGGCCAGGATCGAACTGGGAAGTGGGGCAACGAGCAGAAACAGGCCAGTCACGCGAGATGACGTAGCGACCTTACAGTCGGGGCGTTGACCTAAGGAACCCTAAAGAAGGAACGAGGCCCCTTTCTTCCATAAGTTAAACTTCGATTTCCGATCGAAAACATAAGGAAAACCTGAGGCAAGCTGTGAAACACTGAAGGAACGCGGAGCCCCTCCCCCACCAAAAGAGTTCCTTCTTCAGGGCCCCGACTGTACGCGGTGGCTCACGCGGGCCGCCGGCGCGGCACGCCACTTTGGAGACGAGGGAGTCCACGCGCTATCCCACGCGGCCAACCTACGCGCCAATGGCGGCGAAGACGACTCTGTTTTTTTGCGTCGGTCACTTGACCTCCCCCGGAAGAAAGAAAAATGACCCCACACAAACATAAGTTTCCGGAGGTCGGCGCAAACTTCTAGGGTCGGCGCAAGGCACCCCTCCCACAACGCCCCTGGATTCGTCTCTGGCGCCATCCTTGGCGCGCTCCGCGCCAGGGAAGACAGGATCAGTCGGCATCGAACCAGGAAGCTGGATCGGATCGGAGTGTGCGCGGGGTCGGGTCGCGTCAGCACAAAACTGGAACCGAGTCGGGTCGGCCGCGCCAAGATGCACAACAACGCCATGGAAACATCAGGCAACACAAAATCGTCAGCAAAATATCGGAATCGGGTCGGGCCGGGTCGAATCAAATCGATCTGATCGGCATTGGCCCTGGAACCCACACGTCCTCCGTCGTCATGTTTTCACGGCGTGGCACCCTAAAGGTCTGGACCCTTTCCCTGGGACCGGTTTTTCCCCACATCCTAAGTGGGGTTTTTGTTTTCCCTGGACACCCTCCGCGCAGGAACCTCCCTCCCACTCTCCGCCTCACTCACGCATTCACCCCGTCATCGGTCATCATCACCATCGGTCATCATCACCACCACCACCATCATACTCAGTTACTCACCATCGATCACCATCACCATCGGCCATCAATCATCATGATCATCATCATCATCATCATCATCATCATCAGCATCATCACCACCACCGCCATCATCATCACACTCACTCGCACATCACACACACACACACTCTCTCTCTCATCACTCAACATCATTTTTCCTGAGGCCTGAATACGGGGGAACTATCAGGCGGGAGGCTCGTCTGTGAGTGAATTGCGAGGAAGTCTCAGGCGGGAGCCCTCTTCCTATGGGGCCCGCGCTTCATGTTTCTAATTCGAGCGGCTCGTCCTCGAACCTGTAGCTGTCATCACGTTTGGGCCCCTGAAGCCTGAATACGCGGGAACTATCAGGCGAGAGGCTCGTCTGTGAGTGAATTGCGAGGAAGTCTCAGGCGGGAGCCCTCTCCCTATGGAGCCCGCACTTCATGTTTTTTTTCCGAGCGGATCATCCTCAAACCTGTGACTGTCGTCACTTTTGGGCTCTTGAGGCCTGAACATCTGGCAAGCATCAGGCGGGAGGCTCGTCTGTGAGTGAATTGCGAGGAAGTCTCAGGCGGGAGCCCCTTTCCCTATGGGGCCCGTGCTTCATGGTTCTAATCTCTCATGGGTCATCCTCGAACCTGTAGCTGATGTCACTTTTGGGCCCCTGAGGCTTGAATATGGGGGAAGTATCAGGCGGGAGGCTCATCTGAGAGTGAATTGCGAGGAAGTCTCAGGCGGGAGCCCTCTCCCTATGGGGCCCGCACTTCATGTTTTAATCCGAGCGGCTCATCCTCGAACCTGTATCTGTCGTCACGTTTGGGCTCCTGAGGCCTGAATATCCGGGAAGCATTGATCACCATCACCATCGGCCATCAATCATCATGATCATCATCATCAGCATCATCATCATCATCATCATCAGCATCATCACCACCACCGCCATCATCATCACACTCACTCGCACATCACACACACACACACACACTCTCGCTCATCACTCAACCTTATTTTTCCTGAGGCCTGAATTTGGGGGAGTATCAGGCGGGAGGCTCATCTGAGAGTGAATTGCAAAGAAGTCTCAGGCGGGAGCCCTCTCCCTATGGGGCCCGCACTTCATGTTTTAATACGAGCGGGTCATCCTCGAACCTGTGACTGTCGTCACTTTTGGGCTCCTGAGGCCTGAATATCTGGCAAGCATCAGGCGGGAGGCTCGTCTTAGAGTGAATTGCGAGGAAGTCTCAGGCGGGAGCCCTCTCCTTGTGGGGCCCGCACTTCATGTTTTTTAATCTCTAATGGGTCATCCTCGAACCTGTAGCTGATGTCACTTTTGGGCCCCTGAGGCCTGAACATGGGGGAAGTATCAGGCGGGAGGCTCATCTGAGAGTGAACTGCAAAGAAGTTTCAGGCGGGAGCCCTCTCCCTATGGGGCCCGCGCTTCATGTTTTTTCCGAGCGGGTCATCCTCGAACCTGTGACTGTCGTCACTTTTGGGCTCCTGAGGCCTGAATATCTGGGAAGCATCAGGCGGGAGGCTCGTCTGTGAGTGAATTGCAAGGAAGTCTCAGGCGGCAGCCCTCTCCCTATGGGGCCCGCACTTCATGTTTCTAATCTCTAATGGGTCATCCTCGAACCTGTAGCTGATGTCACGTTTGGGCCCCTGAGGCCTGAATATGGGGGGAGTATCAGGCCGGAGGCTCATCTGAGAGTGAATTGCGAGGAAGTCTCAGGCGGGAGCCGCCTTCCCTATGGGGCCCGCACTTCATGTTTTTAATCCGAGCGGGTCATCCACGAACCTGTGACTGTCGTCACTTTTGGGCTCCTGAGGCTTGAATTTGGGGGGAGTATCAGGCGGGAGGCTCGTCTGAGAGTTAATTGCAAGGAAGTCTCAGGCAGGAGCCCTCTCCCTATGGGGCCCGCACTTCATGTTTTAATCCGAGCGGGTCATCCTCGAACCTGTGACTGTCGTCACTTTTGGGCTCCTGAGGCCTGAATATGGGGGAAGCATCAGGCGGGAGGCTCGTCTGTGAGTGAACTGCAAGGAAGTCTCAGGCAGGAGCCCTCTCCCTATGGGGCCCGCACTTCATGTTTCTAATCTCTAATGGGTCATCCTCGAACCTGTAGCTGATGTCACTTTTGGGCTCCTGAGGCCTGAATATGGGGGGAGTATCAGGCGGGAGGCTCGTCTGTGAGTGAATTGCAAAGAAATCTAGGCGGGAGCCGCCTTCCCTATGGGGCCCGCACTTCATGTTATTAATCCGAGCGGGTCATCCTCGAACCTGTGACTGTCGTCACTCTTGGGCTCCTGAGGCCTGAACATGGGGGAAGTATCAGGCGGGGGCCTCGTCTGTGAGTGAACTGTGAGGAAGGCTATGGGGCCCGCACGACAGTGAAGGTCATTTCCAGATTAGCCGGAAGGAGTTTCATGCGGGGTCTTCCCGCCGGAGCAATTCGTCTCGAATCGTTTTTGACGGTCCCGGGGCCGCGCGAGGGTCCCCGAAGGCCCACTGCTGGTCTTCTTGTTGAAAAGGCCTGCGTCGCGGTTCGTTCGCAGCTGGAGGACGTCAGGAAAGGGATGTGCTGAGATGGCCGCGGGGGGCACTAAGGGGATAGGGGGGTCTAGAAATGGATACGACATAAGGTGAGATATCTCGCGAGCACCCTGAGTAGTTCGAGGGGTAGGTCTGGCCCAAGTTCGGGGGAGCGCAAACATGGATTAGCGATCCGTGGATTTGGCGCGCAGTCGCCAAATCCATGGATCGGGGGAGGTGCCCTCCCCAAAATGCGGCCGGTGCCGCCTCGCTCGGCGGCGGAAATCCGAGACTCCCCCTGGAAACGGGACCGCGATCGCCTGATCGCCTGACAAGCGGGCGGAGCTCACTCGAGCGCCGAGAGGACACGGGCCTTGCGCGAGGCGACATGGTGACCCTACGCGATGGCTCACGCGGGCAGCCACGGCGGCACGCCACTTTGGAAACGAGGGCGCTCACGCGCGACCTCACGCGGGAAGCTTACGCGCGTATGTCGGCGCCAGGGGGCCCGCCTCTCTTCGTCGCTCACTTGGCGGAGCCCACTCGCTAAGCCAGAATTCCCGGCCGCGCGCGCCAGCCACGCACTTTGCCTCTGCCCTCTGGGGGCCTCGGCCTCCTTCCTCCTCCTGGCCGCCAGGGCGCGCCGGTGCTTCGCCTGACGCTCCTGCAACGGGCGGGCCCCCCCTCCCACGACTGACGGCGCCGGGTTTGTTCGCCTCCAGCCTCCCTCCTCCCCTCCTCATCCCTCCGCCTCCCCCCCTCCTCATCCCTCCGCCTCCAACCCTCCTCCCCCCACCCATTCCGCCTCCTCCACCTCCTCCTCCTCCTCCTTTTCCTCCTCCACCTGCTCACCCTGCTGCTCCTCCTCCTCCTCCTCCTCCTCCTCCTCCTCCTCCTCCTCCTCCTCCCAATCATCATCATCCTGCTCCTACTCCTCCTCCTCCTCCTCCTCATCATCATCATCATCATCACCATCATCATCATCAGCATCAACATCATCATCATCGTCATCATCATCGTCATCATCACCATCCTCAGCATCATCCTCAGCATCATCATCATCAGCAGCAGCATCCTCATCTTCATCAACATCATCATCATGATCATCATCCTTATACTCCGCATCATCCTTCTCATCCTCCTGGTTTTCCTCCTCTCTCTCTCTCTCTCTTCTCGCCCGCTCTCTCTCTCTCTCTCTTTCGCTCTCTCTCCCTCTCTCCCTCTCTCTGTCTCTCTCCCCGGGAAATCTCTTTGCATATACATACATATATACACCGAAGTGTGTAGATGAATACTAATATATACTTACACCTACAGGCATGCATACACATATGCATACATACATACAGACAGGCAAGCAGACAGACAGACATGCGTACATACATGCATACGCACATACATACGTAAAGTAATGCATGCATGCATCCATCAATACATGCATCCATACATGTATGTACATGCATGCATACATGCATGCAGGCATACAGACAGACAGACAGACAGACAGACAGACAGACAGACAGACAGACAGACAGACAGACAGACAGACAGACAGACAGACAGACAGACAGACTGACAGACAGACAGACAGACAGACAGACAGACAGACAGACAGACGTACATACATACATACATACATACATACATACATACATCACAGATGCATGTACACATACATACATGCATCTATACACATACATGCATACATACATGCGCACCTACATATACATACATATATATATATATATATGTATACAAGACTGCATTGGCGCTGCGCGCCATGCACCTTGGTTCTTTGAAATCTGCACGCAAGCGGAATGCGTGCGCGCGTACATCCGCGCATGCATGTATACACCCGCACGTGCATGCACGTTCCGTATACATGTCTAGGTGTAAACAATATACGTACATTGTTGTACGTGAACAGCGTACATGTATATATATATATACACACCTTTATGTGTGTAAGGGTATGATCATGCATATGCAACTCGTACGGGGCATCCTCGGGCATCTTCGCTGCATGCCACGAGACCCTCAACGACTGGGTCACAATGTGAAATGTCATGGGAGCAAAATCAATGAATGCTGGCATTCGGAAACATCGTGGGGGTGTTTTCGGGGCCCTCGTGGGCCGTTTTGGCGCCTTCATGGGCCGTCCTGGGGCCTTCTTGGGCCGTCTTGGGGAGCTTGGGCCCGCTGGAGCCCCCTTTGGACCCATCTTGGGCACTTCCGGGGACCTCCCATGGCCCTTTTGGGTCTGTGCTGGGAGCCCTTGGGGGGTCTCTTGGTTCCATTATGGGATGTCTTGGGGCTCTCGTGGGCGATCGTGGGGCCCGGTTCGGCCGTCTTGAAGCTTTCTAGGGGGCCTATGAGGCGATCTCGGGGGCTTTGAAACCGTCTTGAAAGCTGATGAAATCCGAAAGGCGAATATGCTAAACGGGAAGTTTTACGAAGGGAATGGGACGATTTTTGTGCTTTGAAGGCCCCTTGGAAAGTTTTTTGGGGTGCCTTGGGGGTCTTGATGTTGGCATTCGGAAACATCGTGGGGGTGTTTTCGGGGCCCTCGTGGGCCGTTTTGGCGCCTTCATGGGCCGTCCTGGGGCCTTCTTGGGCCGTCTTGGGGAGCTTGGGCCCGCTGGAGCCCCCTTTGGACCCATCTTGGGCACTTCCGGGGACCTCCCATGGCCCTTTTGGGTCTGTGCTGGGAGCCCTTGGGGGGCCTCTTGGTTCCATTATGGGCTGTCTTGGGGCTCTCGTGGGCGATCGTGGGGCCCGGCTCGGCCGTCTTGAAGCTTTCTTGGGGGCCTTTTGGAGCGCCTTGAGGCGATCTCGGGGGCTTTGAAACCGTCTTGAAAGCTGATGAAATCCGAAAGGCGAATATGCTAAAATTGTACGTTTTACGAAGGGAATGGGGCGATTTTGTAGTTTGAAGGCCCCTTGGAAAGCTTTTTGGGGTGCCTTGGGGGTCTTGATGTTGGCATTCGGAAACATCGTGGGGGTGTTTTCGGATCCCTCGTGGGCCGTTTTGGCGCCTTCATGGGCCATCCTGGGGCCCTTGGGCCGTCTTGGGGAGCTTGGGCCCGCTGGAGCCCCCTTTGGACCCATCTTGGGCACTTCCGGGGACCTCCCATGGCCCTGTTGGGTCTGTGCTGGGAGCCCTTGGGGGGTCTCTTGGTTCCATTTTGGGCTGTCTTGGGGCTCTCGTGGGCGATCGTGGGGCCCGGCTCGGCCGTCTTGAAGCTTTCTTGGGGGCCTTTTGGGGCGTCTGGAGGCGATCTCGGGGGCTTTGAAACCGTCTTGAAAGCTGATGAAATCCGAAAGGCAAATATGCTAAAACTGTAAGTTTTACGAAGGGAATGGGACGATTTTTGTGTGTTTTGAAGGCCCCTTGGAAAGCTTTTTGGGGTGCCTTGGGGGTCTTTTGGACCGTCCTGACGCAATTGGAGTCCCTCTTGGAGCGCTCTTGTGCTGTCTGGGTCCTCCCTTGAGCCTTTTCTGATGACCCCTCGGATCGCTCTGGGTCTGCTGGCAAGGCGTTTGTGGAGACCCGGAAAGCCGAGTGACCTTTTCCAAGGACGTCCAAGGGAGCCCGAGAACCCCAGATCCCGGGAAACCATTTTTTTGGGGGGGGGGATGGTTTTCTCCCCCGGGCTTGTAAAACAGATAGGAAGAGAAACACATATATATATATATATATATATATATACACATAAATATACATATATACCTATGCATCTATGTATAGATGCAGACATGCATACATACATACACACATACATACATACATACATACATACATACATACATACATACATACATACATACATACATACATACACACACATACATACATACATACATACATGCATGCATACATACATACATACATACAGACAGACATGCATGCATGCATGCATGCATGCATGCATGCATGCATGCATGCATGCATACATACATACATACATATAGACACATGCATGCACATTTGCATGTATACATACTTGCATACATGCATGCATGCAGGCATACATGCATACACAACTACACACATGCACTGATCCATGTATACATTCAGGCATGCATACCTACATACACACATGCATACATGTATATACGTCAGTACATACGTACATACACACATACACAAACATGGATCCATACCCATACATCTATATACATACATATATGCACACATTCGTACGTGCATACATACCTACACACATATATGTTTATACATACATGCGTAAGCCGACGTAACCATAACAACAAACACGCGCATATCCATAAGCGCCACCAACGACATGGTCATAAGCATAGCCGTACACAAAAGCATAACAATGAACATACAAATATGCACAGGCATAGGCATAATCACAATCATCAGTATGAACATGCATACATATAAGCAGATGCACGCACACACGTGCAACCAGACGAACATACATACATATACATGCATACATACATGCATATTTAATATGTGTATGTACATACATAAATACATACATCAGACAAACAAATTTACATACAGACAGCAGGCAGACAGACTGAAACACAGACAGACAGACAGACAGACAGACGTACACATCCATGCATCCATCCAGACAGACAGACAGACGGACAGACAGACAGACAAGCAGACGTAGATATACATATAGACGCGTGCATCTACATACAACTACATGTAGACACTACATCATGGTCGACCCTGGTAAAGGTCAACGCTTCGAGTTTTCCGCAGATGCTCGCGCGTCTGTCTCATCCCGTCCCTGCCAGTGCGGCCAAGCATCCTCCCAACCTCACTGGGGGGAGGCGCAGGGACTGGAGCGACTCCCAAGCACCCCCTCGCGACTGCACTGGAGTTTCGCCCGCTTGCTCCTCGTCAGTCATGCTCCTCAGGGCCTCGAACTTGGCCTCCGCCTTCTCGATGTCGACCGACTCCACCTGAGACTGGGACGGCCCCTCCTCCACCCGCCCGCCCCTCTCGGGCAGGACCCGTCAGCACCGAATCGAGAGACCGGACATCGGGGATGGACAGACCTCCCTTTAGTAAAACGTGGTTTAGTGAAAACGACCTGAGGCCCCAACCTGGCGTGCGCAAGCCTGGAAAATATCGGCCGCGGCGCCCTCTCGAGAACCGAAAACGGACAATTCACTAATCGACGTGTCACTGTTGGGGTGCTGTCCACCCCCGAGGACAGAATCGGAACGCAGGTCGAATCGGGCCGCACCGGCACAGAAACGGACGCGAGTCGGACGGCTGCGCCCATGATGCACAGCAGCGCCGCACAAACATCGGGGCGCATCGGACCGTCGGAGATGCGGAGTCGATTCGGATCGGGCTGGCCGAGGTCGATGTGCTGTCGCTCGGATGTCTTGGATCTGCGCTGGACCCACATTCTTGGTGCGCGGCGCAAGCTTGGGTCGGCGCCGCAGGCGCCGCCACGGGATTCCAGCGCATACCCGAACAGAACGCCCAGGGCTCCGAAGACATATGTTTATGCCGTTGATCTCCTTCGAGATATGAGCCCTATACTCCCGCGGGGAGCTTCTCGTCTTAACCGTTTTACTCTGGGCTCGCCTCCGCGGCCCGCGCAGCGACCAGCGCGGCCTCCAAAGCGGCCTCGTCCTCCTTGTCCATCGCCTGGTGGAGCTTTCCCAACTTCCCCTCGTCCTCCTCCCCCTCGTCCTCATGCTCCACTGCCCGCTCCCCGCCTCCTCCTCTTGCTTCTCCTCCTCCTCCTCCTCCTTCTCATCCTCCCTCTGCTTCCTGCTCCCTACCGCTCATCCCTGTTCCCCCTCCTCCTCATCCTCCTCATCCTCCCCCTGCTTCTCCTCAACAAAATTGTCGTCGTCATCATCATTGTCATCATCACCATCATCAGCGTCATCATCATCATCATCATCATCATCATCATCATCATCATCATCATCAGCATCATCATCGGCATCATCATCGTCGTCATTATCATCATCATCATCATCATCATCAAAATCAGCAGCATCATCATCATCATCGTCATCATCATGAGCATCATCATCATTATCATCCGATTCAGCAGCATCATCATCAGCCATCATCATCATCATCAGCGGCATCATCATCACCACCATCATCATCATCATCATCACCATCAGCATCACACGACCGCCACCAACACCACGACCACCACCACCACCACCACCACCATCATCATCATCATCATCATCATCATCATCATCATCATCATCATCATCGACATCATCATCGACATCATCATCAGCATCATCATCAGCATCGTCATCATCGTCTTTGACAACAGCGACCGCAACAGCAACAGCAATATCATCATCATCAACATCAACATCAGCATCACCATCCACATCCACATCAGCATCGACACTATAAGCATCGTCGCATTCGCCATCACCATTATGATCATCATCATCAGCAGCATCATCACCACCACCACCACCACGATCGTCATCATCATCAGCAGCATCATCAGCATCATTGGCATCATCACCAGCAGCAGTTGCAGTTCATCATCGTCCGCATCATCATCCGAATCATCATCATCCTCATCAGCATCATCCTTATCGTCATCATCACCATCGTCGTCATCGGCATCGGCATCACCATCACTATCAGCAGTATCAGCATCAGCATCAGCATCAGCATCAGCATCAGCATCATCATGATCATCATGATCATCATGATCATCATCATCATCATCATCATCATCGTCAGTATCATCATCATTGTTATCATCGTCATGAACCACATCATCGGCATCAATATCAACATCAACATCATCAGCATCGTCGTCGTCAGCATCGTCAGCATCATCGCCACCATCATCATCTTGGGCAGCAGCAGCAGCATCTTCAGCATCATCAGCATCTCCAGCTCCATCTCCACCTTCACATTCATCTTCAGCAGCATCAACCCCTCCATCCCTCCCTGCTTCCCGCCCTCTCTCCCTCCACCTCCCCTGAGCGTCAGCTGGTCAGACACAGCTCCTCGCCAGCAGGCCCACGCCATTCGCGCCGCCCAGCGCCACTTCTCTTCCTTCCCGACATCGGACGCCTCGGCCTGGTTCATAACGTGGCTCCCCTGAAGTCTGAAGCCCTTTCTGGGTCCTGAACACTCTTCTGACGCCCCTGGAACCCAGTGAAGGCTGGATTCTCTTTTGAAGTTTGGCCGGAACGCACCCCGGGAGAGGTCGAGAGGCAGATGTGTCTCAAGCCACGCCAAAACATCGCGACGGCAAGCGTTCTCACGCGTTCGGCCTGTCGACGCCTTTTTCCTGGACCCGGGACCGTCGACAACAACGGTTCGGGATGAGAAGCTGGCCCCTTTGTACTTCAGGGGTGGTGATCCCCAGGGATCCGTGTCACGAAGAAGATGCGACGTCGGAGAGGGAACCCCTGAGAATCCCCACCCGAAGACGAAGGCAGCACGAGAATAAACCCGGACGGGGATACGTCGGGCATCTCTGAGAGCCCACAGGTCTGGAGGATGCAGCTATCGGACAGCGCGGCCTCTCAAGAGCCTGGAAGAGCTCCGTGATCGCTCTTCTCAAAAGACTGAGCCTTTTGCAAGCAAGCCTGGCATTCCGACGAGAGGATGGATAGAGAGAGATGAAGGGAGAGAGGAAAGGGGCCCGAGGGAGGGAGGGAGAAGAGGGACGGAGTGCTCGGGACGGAGTACTCTGGGGGGAAGGATACGGAGGAGGCAGATATCAGT